CCCGCTGAGGGGCCGTCATTACAAATGAATAATTAAAGGGTTTCTGGCCCGTGTTGATGGCAGTGTCGTAATAATATAAATAGATAACAGACAGGTAAAGAGAAGTACAGCTCAATACCTCGGTAAATGAAAGGATGTGCAGAAAATCCTTGTGTTGTTTCTGGCCCGTGAAGGCGGTAGTGTTGTAATATAAATCCTAGAATAGACAGGTAAAGATAAGTATCGCTTATTACCTCGGCAAATAAAAGGATGTGCAGAAAAATGGGGGCCCTTCTTAGAAATTAAATACTCTGGTGTTTCTGGCCCGTGAAGATGGCAGTGTAGTAATAATATAAATAAATACCAGACAGGTAAAGAGAAGTATCGCTCACTTCAGTACTTCGGTAAATGAAAGGACATGCATAAAATTAGGGACCCTTATTAATTATTAAAGATTGTAGTGTTTCTGGCCCGTGAAGGCGGTAGTGTGGTGATAATATAATCCTAGAACAGACGGGTAATGATTACGTTTTAAGGGGGTAGCAAGATAAAGAGTCAAACACAATGGGGATCGTGAGGCTGGAACATGGCATTTAGCAATTTGCTTGAGGTTGACAGATAATATGTAGAATAATTAAACATAAAAACAGCGGCATTTGTATAATTTTCTAGGTGAGGCCGACTACTTTTGGGACAGGCAGCTTGGTTTCCTAACACATCATGCCCGTGAAGATCCGGGTTAGAATTGGTCTTCAGCAACCCGTCGTAAGAGGCGACTAACGGGATCGGGTGGTCTGGCTCACTGACTTGATGACACATGTCGTCGTACCCAAAATGCGTAGATCGATGCTCATGCTGTTGATCACTGGATTGTCTGGTCAAGACTCGATTATTTACAGACCGCCACCATATAGCTGGAATATTGCAGAGTGCGGCGTAAAACTAAACTCACTCATTCCTATTACATCATCTCTGAGTTTCTCCATCAGTTGTTGAAGCTTAAACCCGAAGAGTTTCAAGCAAAATATTTACAGATACTGAAGCACCGTGGACCCTCTGAACGTTTTCTTCAGTCCGACACGTATGACCACTTTGTCTGTGTTGATTGTTCCACACATTGGTAAGCAAATGTATCTTTAATGAAACATCAATATTACATTCCCAGGGGATGCATGATAAATATAAATTTCTTGTGTCCTGTCCATGTTTTGTGTATCATCAGCCGAGTGTATGCGCCAGTTTGTACTTCATTACATATTGAATACCACTCCCGTTTGTTTGACTCAGTTGACATTGGCGTTGTGAGCCATGAGAATAACCGGTGTGAATAGCCTAAAGAATAACCAGTGTATAGCAAATGATGTTTGATTTACTTCATCTATGGCGACAGCTACTAGGGCGAAACATTTCCCAGCATCATGACTATATTAGTTGCACATAACATTGAAACTGAACTATATATTTACAAAATATGTGCATTTTGATTTCGAAATGGATGACATCTTCGTTTTATGAATATCGAATTCTGGATTTTACGATAATTGCTGTACTTATTGGTACCCTGCCTGGAGCTTCATAGAGGGGAGTAATTAGGATGGTTTGTTGTTTTACGCCGCACTCAGCAATATTCCAGCTTTTGACGGCGGTCTCTTAGGAATTGAGTCTGGACAAGACCACCCGGTGATCAACAGCATGAACATCGAACTACGCAACTGGGATACGATGTGTCAACCATGTCCACGAGCCTGACCACCCGATCCCTTTGGTCCATCCTTACGACAAACATGGGTTGCTGAAGTACACTGGCCGCCAAGAAGCGAGGAGTAATTAATGTGTACTTTAATCAGAGAGAGAGAGAGAGATAGATAGGTAGATAGAGAGAGAGAGAGAGAGAGAGAGAGAGAGAGAGAGAGAGAGAGAGAGAGAGAGAGAGAGAGAGAGAGAGAGAGAGAGAGAGAGAGAGAGAGAGAGAGAGAGAGAGAGAGAGAGAGAGAGAGACGTGCACATTAACACAGGCATTCGCACACTGATTACCAACAAGCCCAATACGGGAGATTTTAAGATAGCTTCGCTGATTTCACACCCCATAGTGTTTTCGTATACCTTGCAATAAGGCCCGTAAGTAGCTCACAGCACCTTTCCGAATGGTCTAATCGTTAGTACTTGACAGTTCGGAACCAATAACCCTTCCAGGAATAACACATAACCATCCCCAAATCAGCCAACTATTACGACAGTTAACAGCTGTGACAACCAAGCAAGGTTGTACACTTGGTCCGATCTAGTAAAGTCATATTTGGCGGTCGCGCAATTTTGACCCAGAACTGGTTCGTGAATAAACGCCTGTCACAGGAAATCTGGTACCGGAAGTAAGCTGGGTCCCATCTCGCGTATCGCAAGTTGACGCGCGCAAAGGGAGCCGGGAACCAGCTTAGTACCTGAAGTTTTGCCTCCGTGACTTACAGGCCCTATTAATCTCAAAACTGAGTTTTAAAATTAATCATATTGTTAAGTGATTGCATGTCGTAACTTCTTACATTAAAGAACACTTCTCTGCAAAGTACTTTTGTCTTTGTGAATTTCTTTCAGCTATCCTCAACGATGTATTCCTTAAGGATAAAAAAATCAATCTTTGCAGGTCTCACATCTTGAAATTTATTTAATTGCCATTGAGGTGGCGTTGAGTGTAAAGTCCGGATTCTGCAATGCTAAAAACAACTGAATGCGTATAGAGTGGACTGTATTTTGATTCTAAACTTAGATAAATATCACATATACCTTGGAAATATATTACATGATGTTTTATCTTATTGTTCCACGACTATTTTCAGCCTACTAACATTTTCCATACTGTTGTAAAATTTAAATATAATCCATTTTTCACCCGTTTACATACTTTTGCCCTGCAAAATACACGTGTGGCTTCTGGTCTCTTAACTCCGTTAATACGTGAATTGACAGAATCGACTTTAGTAATTTTATAACCGCATCATGCCATGCCACTGAAATGAAAATAACGGAAAATATACAAAACATTGGTCGGGAAACATTTACAACTTTATGTTAAGCACATGTCCAGAAAAAAATATTGCATTTCACGTAAAATATATCAGAGAAATATTTAAAAGATTAATATATTGTTTTTCAATGTGTTTTAAAATTGTGTATGATATAGCACTATATACATGTACATGGTATATGGGGAAGTGCTTATACCTGGAATATCTGGTCCAGATTCGAATATTTACAGACCGCCACCATATAGCTGGAAATTGCTGAGTGTGGCGTTAAACAATAAACGAGTTAAAATGAAATCAAATTACTTTAACATTATTAAATAAAATATAATAAGACAAAACATAGCATGATCATGATTGTCCATCTAAATTGCAAGAGACCCCCCAAAAAAGCCAACTACCACAACAACAAAAAACACCAACAAAACAAAACAAACAAAACAACCTCGAAAACAAACCCCATCAAACCCCCGCCCCGCCCGAAAACAACCCCCAACCCACACAAAAACAGCATCCCCCAAAATACTCAACAGACAAAACAAACAAACAAGCACCATAAACGAAATAAATAAACAAAACAATAACAACACACAAACAAAAATCCCAAACAAACACAAAACAAGAGCAAGCACACAAACAGAAGAATTGTTTCCATTAGAAAAAGAAAGTGGTGCTGGAGTTCGTGGATGCACCCGTAAAATATTTTGTGCTTTTCAAGCAGTTCACCAAAATAGCAACGGAAATACGGTAAAACTCACATTTCCGTCTACATCCTCTTTCAACATCAAAGTAAGCCTGATCGACAAGTCTGATTGATACATTACGGAGGAATGAATGGGTAGTTCTTTGATCTTACCGAAACAGTTTACAAGTTTGTGTCAGACCCTCGATTACCACGCTTCCTCGGCGTATTTGTGGACGTTAGCGGTTTGTTGAAATCAATCAAATATATCAGGTTTCAGTACATCTATTATGTCCATCCCTGCTTGGTGAGAACATAATGGCGGCTTGAAACGTCTTATCATCTATCCCCAGTGACTGTCGAGGAAAAAAATATCTGTAAATGATGTTTTTGAAATGTAAAAAAAGATCTCCGAGAGTATTTCCTTGATCTTTAAAGTGCAAGTCTGATGGTTGTACACAGCTTTGTAAACTTTGACAGATTGTAACGTCTTAAAAGCAAAAGTTCACTAATACTTAATCTTTCATTAAAAAACAACAACAAAATTTGAGGAAGATGTGTATCTAAGTAATATTTCAAATATACTTTCAGAAGAGGGATTGTGACAAAGGCCATCAGAAGGACCAAACAAAGAGTTCACTATGAAGACTTAGTGATCTATGAGAAATTGATTTTTCGAAACATGTTTTTTCTTAAATTGCGTTTATTAATAGTGTAGAGGTACTTTCATTTGTTTCCATTTGATACTTTAATGTCCGCAGATCTGTGTTTAGAATGATGAAGTATCGATTGTACTTCCTTCACAGGCTTTTTGGGGGTATCGTGAGCTCAAATCGATTCCAACTTGTCGATTTCTCCAACTCGGAAACTAATTTAGCTTAGTATGAATTCAAACGTAGTAAGCCCATCGGTGGGCGCCAATGTGCTGGCCATATAATAACGAGTAGCATGAAGGGATTCGAACCATGGAAGAACTGATCCGAGGAATGACGTCTTGCCCACAAGAGTGCGGCGCTAAACAAAAGCCTTTGATCTAAAAAAAAGACGTTTACTCTCATATCACCTGTAACACCTTTGTACATGTAGTTGATAAAAAAAGACAAAACTTGATAAATATAAACCATTAATCAGTCAAAAACGTGACAAAAAATATCGTGACAATAACAATGGGCGTTCCTTTCTATGTGTTTGCATTTTCAAAGGAACCAGTATCTAAATCTAACCGAGCCGTGTATTTAACACTCCTTCTGACATATGGTGTAGATACCTTGCTTTGTCATACATGTGTGCTCTATATATCTGACGACCCTTATCTCTACGGGGCACTCGCGTCAAATGCCTATTTAAACTCTTTTAGTACATGAACCTTCCCTTCTTATCAGGAAAGTGCTTCGATCAAAATGTTCGTGAAAATATTGTGTTTAGTAGCAGCATTCCATGGCGCCTTTTCCGCTGATAGCAGAAACATAGTGCAGTACTTGTCTGCCAACCCCGAATATTCAACGCTGGTGGGTCTGGTCAAAGATGCGGGTCTGGTTGCATCTCTCTCTGCCCCAGGTGAGTGAACTTAATTAACCCATGTTTAACCTTCTTGAAGGATGGTCCTCCACTCTTTCTATGTTACCCACCTATATATGTCTAATCATCTGGGCATTTTAAAAAAAACCTCCAGAATTTCGTGCTATACAATAGCCTGTTAGAAAATTTAAAATCTGTAATCTGGACGTCTGAGCGTTTGGGAAAACATATATATGTTTCTTTTATTGAAATTATTTCTATTTGCCTCCAAACTGAGGTTATGATTACTCAATACGGAACTATATTTGCCGGATATATATATCCAAATATGAAATTGTTGATTCTCAGGGGCGGTGGGGTAGCCTAATGGTTAAAGCGTTGGCTCGACACGCCGAAGACCCGGGTTCGAATCCCCACATGGGTACAATGTGTGAAGCCCATTTCTGGTGTCCCCCGCCGTGATGTTGCTGGAATATTGCTAAAAGCGGCGTAAAACCAAACTCACTCAGTCAGTTGATTCTCAAGTGTATACATGGATATTGAAAAAAGTATTGTTTTGGGGTTACTGATCAAGCAAAATTTACATAACACTTTTATATGGTTTGTGTGAACTATTTTCTGTTTTGTAACACTGTCTGTCTTTTGAATGACATCATATTCGTACTTCTACTGTATTAGGTCTACTGTATAACTAGGCAGTGGGGTAGCCTAGTGGTTAGGGCTTTCGCTCGTGACGCCGAAGACCCGGGTTCGATTCCTCACATGGGTACAATGTGTAAAGCCCATTTCTGGTGCCCCCCCGCTGTGACGGAATATTGCTAAAGGTGGCGTGAAACTAAACTCACTCACTGACAAACACCATGGCCAAAACGTGTGGCGTTGGACGTATATAATGCCCCGTTTTAAATCGGATTTGTATTTTATACAAATGCATTCAATGAAATATTCACAATACAATCTTATAAACTTTAACCTACATATCGAATGATGATTAAGTCAGTCGCAAGTCTAATGAGTAACTGCTATAGGTGTATAGAACATAAATTTTACCATATTGGTTAAAATCAAACTAGGGAAATATTGCAGGAACTATCCAGATTGTTTGTTCAAAACAAACGGAGAGGTCGCAGGCTGGAACGACTTCCGCCCGTATCCCCCGTTAAATTTCATTCTAGTCAAATCATATCACCTGAATGTATATATTCATCATCTGATAAGGATGAGTTTTAACATGTTTCTTTAATTGTATCTGTACATACTGACAGACATATCCAACTTCTTAAAATGCCACTCAAAGAATTTTTCCTCATCGTTAAAATTTAGACATGTTTTCACATATCGATGAATCATACTAACCTGCTCTGAGTGGACCTAGAAAAACAAGAGTACTTATGTTGCATTATGAAATCTCAACAGTATGTAAGTTTAGATTCCTTTGATCATTTGTACAACACATCTGAATCATTTATATTTCAAATTTATCATTAATTTGATAGGTTCGATGACCTTGTTGGCCCCGAACAATGACGCTTTCAAGGCACTGCCTGCAAGTACCCTCAGCGCTCTCCAGAATGATAAAAACAAACTGAAGACTGTGCTCCTCTATCACGTGATCAACCAAGCTCTTATCAGCTTTCTTATAACCGACGGAGAGGTGGTGAACACGCTGGCCAATCAGAATGTGACCTTCACAAAAACCGTGAGTCTTTGAAGAGCTAACGTGATTCAACATAAAAATGAGACATTTTAAAATGTGTCTCCAAAAGTAATTCTACATTTTTATGCACCAACTAACTATACATAAATGATGTCATTATCGTCAGAATGAACTTGTTCATTTAATCATGTGTTAGAAAATATTTTCTGATATAACTGAGATTCATCTGATGTGATGTCTTCACGGAGGCATATAGTGACAGTCCAACATAACGCATCCTCACCATCGCGGCAGAATTCAAATATTGTTTGTTAACTTATTAGTATTCTGGTGTGATCAGTTTGCTATCCAGTATGCATGAATATGGGTGTTACAAGCTAACCAGCGTTTAATGTGACGATTACTAAACAAGTAAATGAGTCTAAATTGACGTGTATGAGAAACATTTCATTCGTTGAAAGCACGAGAAAAAACAAAATTTTCCCATGATTTTGAGGATTTAAGATGAAAAAAGATATTTCCCAGAATTATCTGGAATATGGTATATTTCGGAAACAAGCGCCATCTTTAATAAAATATCAAATGGTCACTGGGAGAGAAAACGGGATAGAAAATGCTTCTGACTGTTCAACAAATATTTCCTGTACAAATGTTTATTACGATCATAGTTTTAATCATGAACATATATACCTCTGCAGATGTAACTTAATAGATATTTAGTCTCGGTACAAAAGGCAAGGCCCTGAACAGAAAATGAAATGTTCGATCCTTCTACTCCTTAATTCCATGTCAGTGGATTGAACACATTTTTAGAAGAAGGCCATTGGTTGACCTATGATTGTAATGTTTGCAGGGGACCTCTCTCTCAAGGTGAACAATGCGGATATTTCCAGCACCGACGTGATTGTAAGCAATGGTGTCATCCACACCCTTGACTCCGTTCTCATGCCCCAAACCGAGAACATCCTGCAATACATTGCCAAGAATGATGGTCTCTTCTCAGATCTCTTTGCAGCCATCATTGTGACAAACCTAGAGACTGCTCTTGAGGGTAAGTAGGGCACAGGTCTATGACAGGTCTCTCAAATGTAACTGATCGTCTTGTTTATGCGAGAACTGTCCACTGTGACACGACATATATACTGAGCAAGTGTGTGGATGTCTGGACCAGACAATCCAGTGATCAGCAGCATGATCATCGATCTACGTAATTGGGATACGACGACATGTGCCAACCAAGTCAGCAAGCCTGAACACCCGATCCCGTTAGTCGCCTCTTACGACAAGCATGGGTTACTGAAGACCAATTCTAACTCTGACCAATTTGTTTTTGTTTGTTTTTAAAAAAAGAGAATCATGGTACAACACACGCTGGCTTAAGACAAATTACAGTGATGGTTATCTCACTAACCAACGGGGAACCGGAATATGCTGTGTGCATCCGATTTAGTTTAGATTTTAATATTTACAGGCCGCTGTCATATGCAAGTGCAAATGCAAACAAATATATTGCAAACATGTCTGTATGTTGTGTTAACGTTTTTGAATTCACTATTACTGCTATTGGTGCTATGAGACATCTCTTATCAAGGAATATCACTGAAACTCTCATGCGATCACTTACTCTGTCCTCGTCTCGACTACCGCAATAGCCTCCTCTATGGTATCACCAAAATTCAGCGACTGCAAAGAGTGCAGAACACTGCAGCAATGGCAGTGAGTGGGACTGAGCTGAGAGATCACATTCAACATGTCCTCAAATCTCTTCATTGGCTACGTGTAGAAGAGATGATACAGTTCAAAATTCTGTCACTGACATACCAGGCTGTTAACATGACATCACCTCCTTACCTACAAACCGTAACATCTGTCTACCAGCCTACGCGAATCTGCTGATCAGTTTCTCCTGTGTGTTCCTTCCTACACAAGGTGCCAGAACTTTCAGTATTCGTCAACTGTACTGCGGAACTCTCTTCCCTATGATCTGAGATGCTCTCCCTCACTTGACGTTTTTAAAGCCCATCTCAAAGACCTATCTCTTTGGGAGATATTAACATTGACTTGAACTGTTGTATGCGCTTAGAGCATGCCCATGAGGTGTGGAGATCAGCGCTATACAACTGTCCTGATTATTATTGCTGCTTTGCATTTTTCCAGGTGGGCAGTTCACTGTTTTCGCACCTACTGATGATGCGTTTAAGAAGATCAGTTCTGCTCTACCTGGGGATGTTGCCTCTCTGGAACGTAAGTGTTTGTGCGTCAGTTGATTATTGTCATCAACATAATAATGTATATCTTTTGTTCCCTCGGTATTAAACAGTGTCTCTCTTACTAAAGTTTCAAGGATATGTGTTTGTTTGATAAATGTACATACGTGTAAGCACGTTACTTTATCAGTCCAATAAATGTGAACGCGATGTTGAATCAGATTTTATAAACAGTATAAATGCACACACACGCACACGACATACATACACGTTGCTTTATCAGTTCAGTAATTTTGAATGCGATGTTGAACCCCATTCCTTCCTTCCAATACAAACACACACACACACACACACACACACACACACACGCACGCACGCACGCACACACACACGTACGCACGCACACACATGTATACGCACACACGTACATGTGCGGACACGTTGTTATCCCGAACGCGATCTCAAACCCCATTAAACATCACCTACTCATATGTTTTCGTGTGACACTTGTGGACCGACAATCTCAACGGTCTTATTCCTTGTTACAACAGAAGTCCTGAAGTACCACGTTGTGCCTGGACTCCACCCGGCTGGCAGCCTGAAGGATGGAGATATGTTGAACACACTGGCCGGCAAAACTCTGAAGGTTGACCTTAAAAACGGTGAGCTTATCGTGAACCTAGACAAGGATCAGTCACACTAGACAAGAAAAGGAACAGTCACACTTGGCAAGGATCAGCCACTCTCACTAAACCTTGAGGTCTTTCAGACTAAACGTATCCCGAGGTAACTCGGTCATCTGGGTGCCGATAAACAAAGCGATCTTAATGCTACAATTATTGTAAGCCTGTGTTAAAGTACTCGTACTAAAGTGAGTTCGGGGCCCTGTTCCACAAAGTGATCTTAGCACTATGACGATTATAAGCCAATGTTGAAGTATGGGAGTTACAATGTTGAAGTATCACCTAAACACTAAGATTTCTTTGTGGAACCGGGACCAGATCACTATAACGCTAAGATCTCTGTACAAACAATTTTAGCCCCAAGACTGGCGTAGGTGTATGTTAAGGTATGCGAGATACGATCAACATTGTGCTTTGATCGCTTTGTGGAACGACATCCTGTTCGTCATCCCTGATAAAAAATTGAATGAATGAATGAATTAGATAAGGGTTTTCACAGATCGCCTTTATAAAGATTGTTTAGCTAACTGGTTTTATCCCTCGCACACGTCTCCCTGATGAACTGGAATAACTTGTGATGGATAGTCGTATTGATCCGATTGTATTGTATTGATCCGATTGTATTGTATTGATCCGAAATCTCCGATGTACTGTTTAACACCATACGATAAATATGCAAATGAAATTATCCAGTAGTTCAATTCTAGTATGCATAATATAATTGATCTGATGCTGAGTTGCAGCTCCCGAATTTTTTTGGGATTTTTTTTCCGAAACGGCTGTGAATGATTTAGTACAATATTGATAATAGGGCGGTTCATTCATTTGATTATATACTTACACGATTCATGAAGTTACACTAGTGAAGGAAGCTTGTTAAACTTCGATTATTTTAAGACTGACGTCACAGTTGTGACTAATATCTCCTGTTGTTCCAGGAGTGGAGATTGGTACAGCTAAAGTCATCACTGCCGACATCATGGTCATCAACGGCATCATCCACGTCATCGACACCGTCCAAGTGCCGTAAAGTACCCCGTGCAGAAGCAATAAAGACAATAAAACCATATTCCCTATTACTCTGGTTTTAGTCTTTTCCTAGTAACATGACCCGTGAACTAGTAACATGACCCGTGAACTAGTAACATGACCCGTGAAGATCCGGATTAGAACTGATCTTAAGCAACCAGTGCTTCTCGAATAAGGATTGATTTGGTTTGTTTTTAACACCGCACTCAGCAATATTCCAGCTATATGGCAGTGGTCTGTAAATAATCGAGTCTAGGCCAGACAATCCAGTGACTAACACCATGAGCATCGTTCTACGCAATTGGGATACGATGACATGTGTCAACCAGGTCAGAGAGCCTGACCATCCGATGCCGTTAGTCGCCTCTTGCGACATGCATGGGTTACTGAAGACCAATTCTAACCCGGATCTTCACGGGTTTGTCGTAACAGGTGACTTAAGAAGGATCAGGTAGTCAAATTGGCTGACTTTGATGTGTCATCGTGTCCCACATGCCGACATACTTATGAACATGGGACGGAGCAGACCAACTTTGTGGTCACGCGTTCACCCGGACGGCGGAATGTCGATGGTTCCATTCACACCCCCATCATGCCAAACAACGTTATAAGATGGTGCTTGTTGGTGCCTTGGCCGGCTCGATGAATGTGTGTATACATACTGGTATTCGTGTTATATCATATTATTATGATTAAAGAAACAGTAAATATAAACGACAAAACTATTGTCAAAGCCATGAGAAACATCTGCTGAAAGCAGAGTCGATTGTACAATTCTGACATATCATGAGTATGTGGTTAGCAATGTTCAGCAAAATTACGGCAGGGGACACCAGAAATGTGCTTCACACATTGCACCCATGTCAGGAATCGAACCCGGGCCTTCGGCGTGACGAGCGAACGCTTTAACCACTAGGCTACCCCACCGCCCCTATCCCTTGAGTGCAGAGCGCAGGGTTAAACAAGCACCATCTTTTCGTATGACAATGCCGAGTAATCGTAGGCAAAATGCATGAATCAAGCTCATATACCTGTAACATGATTCGTTAACTGTGCGCCAAGCATTTTGTGCGCTTCTTTTCGTAGACAAACTTGGGGAAAATAAAAGGTTGGTAACAATCACGAAATATAGCGTGAAAATCTGGAAACTACATTCACACTTGACAATACACTGTGGATATGCTAAATGTTGGAAGTTGTTTATGACCTTGTACCGTTGGAGGTAAAACAGTTAACATTGCTGAGGTAACAACAGCAGGCATAGGCACAAGGCGGTCATCTCATGTGCAAGATCTTAGTTTCGCCCATCAGCTTTTGAAGTGGATTTTGGGCAGTGGGGTAGCCTAGTGGTTAAAGCTCGTCACGACAGAGATCCGGGTTGGATTTCCCATATGAGTACAATGTGTGAAGCCCATTTCTGGTGTCCCCTGCTGTGATATTGCTGGAATGTTGCTAAAACTACTGAAGTGGATTTGGTATGTGCATTTGGATTTTATCATTTCTTTTGTACTTTTATTATACATAAGACGGTATTGCCCGGTCCTCAAATCTCGTAGCTGTAACCAAAAACGAGAATACGAGTACAGCTGCCTCGATGGCTAACGTGTCTTCGTTTCTACTTCTGCTAGTTTTGAGAACGACACGTTAACAAAGGTTGGGGTTCCCTACAATACGTCTCTTGCTTCAAGATACATATGTATCATTCACTTCTCCTTGAACGGTTACACTTAGATGCATTCCGCACCATATGTGGTGCGGTTCGTGGAACTAGTCATGAAAAATTATATCTTGAAACTAATTTTAAACCATTAAAAGAAAGAAGGCGTGACATCAAATTGGTAAACTTTTACAAAATGAATAACAATCTCGCCCCAGGCTACTTATGTGACCTTGTACCTAAAACTGTTTCTGACAATAGTCAATACAATCTCAGAAACAATCCCATGTTACAAACAATAAACTGTAGGACAAAAACATATGAAAAGTCATTCCTACCAGACACAATTAAAATTTGGAATTCGTTACCTGACGACGTCGCGAATGCTAATACAATAGGCGAATTTAAAACTCTGTTAATAAATTATAAATCCAATAATTATCTTGACCTGAATTATGGTAGCCGATTTTGTCAGATTGTACACAGTCATCTCAAGCTCGGCTACAGTGATCTAAATGCGGATAAAGTCAACAGATATATATCAACTAATGCTGAATGAACAATGAAAATGTTATTCATTTTCTCTTTACATGTAAATTATGTACTGCCATCAGAAACAATGCATACGTTTATATAAGTGGTCACAGCCTCCAACCTGTGTTATACGGAACACGCCAACTACCAACAAAGAAAATAAGGAGATTATAGAGTCTCTCCACCAATTCATTTGCAAGACTAAACGTTTCGATAAAACGGTCTAAACGAAATAATAAAAAACAATTATCTTAACAAAAAGTAATGAAACGTAACTGCGAGCGCGTTGTTAATTACAATTCTCAATGCACATACGATGTTCCGATTTTAGATTGTCTATTTCATTCTGTCTTTTGTCTAGTTCTTGTGTGTTCTGTTTGTGTTATATTTGTACTGGTGAAGTATTCACAAAAGCAAAGCTTTGCTCGTTTACCAAACCAGACTCTTTCAAGAATAAAACTATGTTTAAACCATGTATCTCAGAGGTTTTCTAATAGAAAAGGAACTCTGATGGCAGTAACTTCTTTGGAGGCATTTAGAAGTTGCTGCAGTAAGCAAGGAGAACAATGTATGGATGAACAGCCCTATCAGATCACATCAAAGACAATCCCGACCATAGTATCCATTGGGACAGAATTCAAACCCTAACAACCAACCTCAAAGACTTTAAACTCTGGAAACCTCAAGAAACCATCTACATCAAGAGACTCAAGCCATGAATCAACCGTTACCAAGGTGATTACATACCTCCTGCGTACTACTACCAACTCATGAAAGATCCTCATCATCGATAATCCCCCGTTTATATATAGCACAGGCTTCACCATCCTCTTGCGTATTTTGCAGGCTTCATTTGTTAACACTTTCATCAAAGCCCTCGTTTGTTATTGTGTCTGGCTTCCTAATCCCTATTGTACTGTACAGACATCTCCTCTAACTTGTATATATGCTCCTCTATCATTATGCTGTTCATCACTTGCTTGACTACGGTGTTAGAACCTACACCGAAACGTCGCTCTCACAGCAGTAAAGAAGTTGTTCATCCATATACATGTATTGTTATCCTTTTGATCCTTCTGATTGGAGTGTCATGTCTTACCATCAGTAAATGTTCCAAGTTACATATTCTAACACGATATTGGTATCATTGCCCAAGTTAAAGAAAAACAGGTGGTCATTATTGCAAAGCACTTTGTAAGATGGATTAACAACAAAGTGCCACATTAATTACACTTCACCCAAAGATACACCCATATGAAAGAACGGATGAGAACATTCTGATATGACTCCAAGGTATGCAAAGTCACTGATGAATGGATATGTCCAAGCTGTTATGAAATCAAATGAACCGAACTCCACCTTTCAACTGGAATGTTTTGCCCAATTCTGCATTCCATTGAAACCCAGGGCATGCTTTCAGAATACAATTTTAATTTGTCACACTATCCCGTTTTTCTCTATCATGTGTCAATGTATTCTACGTAGATCATTCAACATCCCAAATCCAATTCGTCACGCGAAATATCCGCGAAAATTTAAGTGATATACTGTTAGGAACATTTGACATTTTAATGAATTTTGTAAACTTGTCAACTGTTGCTCTGTTTTTAATATACGAGGTAACAATTTTAGCCGTTTTTGAGTGAATGGTCTAAATTCCGGATCCAGGTTAGATTAATTTCAGAAAAAGCAGAACTATTGCTGATAAGGAATTATACAGCGGACTCGGCTTGAGCAGAGGTTTCTGATTTCTGTGAAATTAGTTTTTGACAGCCGTTGTGTGAAAAATTTCATTGGAGGGACCACTGATCGTGGGCTAGAATCCCCCACTCAACCATCGTCCTGTTAAACATCTGCATCACTCTACCGTCGTCACATTCAAAGCGCTGGCATGAATGAAATAATGTTGCAAGTGGCGCTCAATCATGCTTACTCACTCATTCATTCACCGGCTTATCTTCAGATTTCACAGAGTGAGTGAGTGAATGAGTTTAGGTTTACGCCGCACTGAGCAATATTTAAGGTTTATGGCGGCGGTCTGTAAATAATCGAGTCTGGACCAGACAATCCAGCGATCAACATCATGAGCATCGATCTGATGAGTCAACCAAGTCAGTGAGCCTGACCACCCGATCCTTACGACAAGCATGGACTACTGGGGACCAATTCTAACCCGGATCTTCACGGGTCGATTTCACAGAGAAAGAAACTGGAATGTGCAAATGCCCAGACGCTCGATATCCTTAGAGGTGAGGTGAAATTGGGTTTTACGTCGTGCTTGAGAATATTTCGCTCATATGACGACGTGCATGCGTGTGTATGTGTAGGTTTGGCTGCTTGTACTAGCCCAGACTTAAGCTGGTTTTATAGTGCTAGCCCACTGAGATACCATGCTGCAGTGAAGCACGAATACCCCACTCAGACACATTATACTGACTCCGAGCCGACCAGTCCTTGTTGTACCCATTAATGCCGAGCGCCAGGCAGGGACCAACAAGTTACCATATTTTAACGTCTTTTGGTATGACGCGGTCGGGGATCGACGCCGCCACCTTCCGCTCTCCTTGCGGACGCTGGAACCACTACACCACGGAGGCGGTCCGATATCCTTAGAAGGCATACTTCATAAAGCGCAATGTGAAACAATAAACATTTCAAAAGCAATCATTCACCCCAAAAATTATCACTTGCTAAATAATCAAAACTATTTGCATCGTAGCAGCGGCAGTTAAGTATGTTTGTTTTTCTCTAAAAGTAATGAACGTTTGTTTATATTTTGGAGAAGCTTTAACCATGTGCACTGCCCTTAGAGAATGTGTGATGGTATCTCAAGTTTAAAGTTTGTGGTTCCACTTGTCTTATAACTTATGCGATTAAGTCTTTCTTGACATTGAAAATACTTCGATTTCACTTTCTATCTTTTATCATGAATAATTCACTTGGACAAAAAAATAAATGTTGACGTAACCATAGAATTCAAAACACTTTTTCCACGAATTCCACGAATGAGATCGATGTATTTGCATCACGATGCTTGGAAGTCGTGCTGTATCCCGTGTCTTCATTTCATGTAGACATAAGGCTGCATACCATCAGCGAGATGATACTCTGATACTCTGTCATACAGGTATGTGAATATTTGTTGTAGAACATGCATTCATGGTGTGCCAACGTAACGCCACATCTAAGCAAAAATGGATGACAGTGATCAGATTCAAATTAACCGGAACGATTGATCAGGTATCAACATGCCCTTCCTTTAGACTTCCACACAAATATACCTCGGAGCGTCACGTTTTGACCTACTTTGAAAATCAGGCTATCTATTTGTATCTGAAACCAAACCATTTTGTTGGATGAACGTTGCCTTCGGCTTTATTGATTGTTCCCGAGAGATGCCCACTTCTAACACATGTGTTCAGCAAGATCCAGGCACTGGAACCATTCTTCACCATTCCCAGAATGGCATGGATACGCGAGAGGATGACTCGCAGTCAAACACAGTTATGTCGAAGTTGAAGGTCTTCCTTAAATACTTCTCCAATGTTCGAGACAATGATAATTAAAGAAGGAATAAGGAACGAACCTTTTACTTCGAGATATCCGTAAGATCGACACATCAGTGTTTGACTCTGCCTTCCACACAATGGTGTTTGACTTTGCCTTCGACACAATGATGTTTGACTCTGCCTTCGACACAATGGTGTCTGGCTCTGCCTTCGACACACACCCACCATCATAGCTTGCGCTAGATACATCCAGCACTCGGACGTCCTATTCCCACGGGAAATCGACTCTACACATAAAACAAACCACCGTTAGAACTGGTAACAACGGAATCAAGAGGATGTGCCCAGTTTCTTTGCTTCATCCTGTGGGGTGCGCATATAGACAGGTTAATTCTCACACCAGCGGGGGCGCGTCTGGATGTCAGGTGGGGCGGCATGAGCAATTAATACACCAGTACAGTGATGCTATTTGGGGAGGTAGCAACGTGATGGGGCATATCAACAACACATCTACATCCGACAATGCATCAGCATCCATAAAAAGATATTACTGGTAGGACATAAGCCGGAGATTAGTTCCAATGACAGTTTTGGAAATGTGAAAGGTTAACATATTTTCTTCTCTGAGGTTTTCTGGAAGCATTTGGGAATAGGTTCCTGTCATACACCACGGTAGATTCATTGGCAAGAGTTGGGGGTATATATTCGATCATGCATCATCTAGAGTAGTTCCGATTGCGTTTGTGAAATTAACTTTTAATAGTATCGTTCATGTACATGTACAACAGGCCGCAGATGAATAAGTTTTGTTAGTTAACCTGACGTACAAAAGAAAGTACTCACCCGGTGCTTTTGGATTACTTTCCAAAAAGCGACGTAAATGTTTTGAAAAGAGTTATTAAAGTGATACATAAGTCGCAGACTATCCTAATATGTTGCCAAAACACCACAGATATCGTGCCCAATTGCGAAGTTGCCAGTCAAAGGGACTTTTTGACACTTTTCAAATCATCCCCAAACACCAGATGTGTACTTTCTTTTGTAGATCAGTTTATTTTGTTTGTTGTTTAACTCTGCACACATTCCAGCTATATCAAGGCAGTCTGAAAATATATTTTGGCTAGACAACCCAGTGACTGATATCATGAGCATCGATCTACGCAGTTGGGATACGACGACATGAGTCAGCCAAGTCAGCAAGTTTCACCACCCGTCTGTGGCCTCTTACGACAAACATGTGTTGCTGAAGTTCAATTCTTACCAGGATCTTCTCACGTTCTGTCTTTCTAAAGTGGTTACAATGACAAGGCGGGCTATATAACGCCAATATAACGAAACTCCCGGAGCAACCTCATAGCCCCAAACTTTTGGGGTTTTGTTTGTTATTTTACGTCGCACGCAGCTGGAATAGCTTTATGGCGGTGGTCTACAAATACTTGTGTCTGGGTCAGACAATCTAATGATCAACATCATGAGCATCGATATAAGCAACTGGTATAGATGACATGTGTCAACCAAGGTAGCGAGCCTCTTACGACAAGCATGGGTTGCTGAAGACACGGGTCTTCGCTGATGTTCCAAATATGAATAAAGGTCAAATATAATACACATTCAACACCTTCCTTTGGCCCGGCCCGGCTGTTTATGTTAAAACGACCATTAACAAGGTAATGACTTCACTATTTTATTGTATATGGAACTATGTTTCTAGCCAACGATCTGCCCGGTGAGGGTACTTGGAATCAGCACGTGGTCCAGGATATGGACGACGCCATTGTCAGCCTCGATATCACTCTCGGTCAGGTGAGCCACGTGGTTCAGACGGATGTCGTTGTCTGGAGAACAAACAGGACAGAATTAGATTCTCCCATTCAATATCGGTGAGTTATATGACATCTGGTGCTTCAGAAGGTTGTCTTGCTCCCACCTCCACAACGTTCCTGCACTAAATCAGGGATGGTCACCAAGAAAATCCTTTGAACATTATCCTCGATTGTTGATTCAAACCCATCTTCGGGGCGGTGGGGCGGCCTAGTGGTTAAAGCGTTGGCTTGTAACACCGAAGACCCGGGTTCGATTCCCCATATGGGTACAGTATTTGAAGCCCATTTCTGGTGTCCCCTGCCGTGATATTGCTGCAACATTGCTAAAAGCGGCGTAATACCATACTCACTCACTCAAAACCATCTTCGTTCTGACTAGAAAACACTTTAACCCAAAAGCCATCTCACAGCCTATGCCATTATATCGTATTTTCACTCTCATTTGCGGAACATTCGTAAAATGAGAAATATCAACCGCATATTGATATTTCTGCAGTAAAGGTTTAGACATTGGAATGACATTGATTGTCTAATAACAAAGTTCTGTTTTGACTGTCTTTTTGGTCAAAGTTGATCAAATATTACATTCTATTCAATAACGGGTTGTCGATCCGGGGTGGATGTCTGTGACGTCATGACGTTGCCATCGTCCTTAATACAATATTCACTCATGCACTGCGATGTGTAAATCTGCATATATTTCTCAAAACAAGTTAAAGAGGAAGGCCGTGTGTCACTATATTCACCAGGCATCGCAGATTAACAATAGATATAAGATATGAAGAAATCTCACGTCCCTTTACTCACTGAGTAGTATATGTTAGATAGTTATCCTTAAGGTACTCACTGCTGATATCGACACCGATGTCGTGGCCGGTGTACAGGGATGTAACTCTACCGTTGCGGTCCAAACTTTTCAGGTGGATTGTTCCACGGTGCAGGTGGTAACGGACCAAGTCTGAAATCACATAACAGATGTGCAGTGAAACCAGCTAAATCTGGGGGTTATTCGATATAATATTATGATTAATGTACATGCTTGTCCAAGAAATGTCAACAATGCATAGCTGGAGGCTTGACGGTTACGTGCATTGTACATCTCTAGGTAAAGGGCAATACAGTCACACCTGGATATACCGCCCCTGGATATACCGCCAAACTGGTTATACCGCCATGAGTTGCCAGAACGGGTTTCCTCTCTTTATAATTCCCTGGACATACCGCCAAACTGGATATACCGCTACCGCCAAGCTCTTAGAGAACCTCTGTTCCAATTTCCTGGAGTTAACGCCAAGTTTGATCACCAAATCCATTGCATGTTGGTGCAATGCAAGAGTTAATCCTTTTCTTTTGGAGATATAGACAGCAATCAGACGCCTAATCTACTCCTGAGTGACTTCTTAGAGTGGTATTTTAGAAATTGGAAGTCAGATAGAACAAGTAAGTATATGGATGACAACTTCTTTTATTCAGGGCACGACGTTTCGATACAGGTTCTTGTATCGTGTTCAAGTAAGAAGTTGTCATCCATATACTTACTTGTTCTATACTCCTGAGTGATTACGTCACTGATTATGTCTGATATTTGTCTGTACGGATGGTAGCGGTATATCCAGGTTTAACTGTACATGCATAAACAACAACCACATGGTGCATGCTTACATATCACTCCAATATTTGATATATGCATACATATTATTCACAAGGGAAGTACATGCACGTGCAGGATTCACACGTGTGGAACATGCTTGTAGATCACCCAGACATGGGGTGTTTGTATATATATATGTATCTCTAAAAATGTAATACATGCACATACACTAGTCAAGCATATGTACACTTACATGCATCACTGAAGTAGTTCACGCGGAGAAGCATATACTCCAAGCACGTAATACACTCTTCAAAATAAGAAACGCATAAGCCATTTTTAGAAATATTTATTGCGTTAGTTTAAGAGCAATTATTGCATGTATTTTCAGTGGTAAACGAGGTGAAAATCCACACGTTCGCCAACACGACATTAGCCTTTATCGTGGTGTTTCTGTTTACTTAAGTCCACAAGATGGCGTCCACTTTGTATGGCCACCATTGGCAGCAATTACTGCCCGGCACCTTCTCGTCACAGACGGGATAAATCGACGAATTCTTCTCCACTCTTCCTGCAATGCAATGGGCAGTTGTGGAAGCGTCTTAGGCGTGTTTTGACGTTGACGTACACGTCGATCGAGTTCATCCCATGGGATTTCTATCGGGTTTAGATCTGGTGATCGGGAAGGCCATGGCAAGACACTAACGTTAGAATTGTCAAGGTAGCGGAACGTGACCTGTGCTGTATTTGAAGTAGCGTTGTCATGCTGGAACAAATCCCTCTGTCGGTTCATAATCGGAAGCATGTGAAGAGCAAGGACTTCGTTGATGTACCGATTTCCTCTCAACTTGCCCTGAACCACCACTAAATCAGATGTTTGTGTGCTGGATATCACAGCCCATACCATGACACTGTCTCCACCAAAACTGTCGATCTGTCGAATTAGGTGCAAAACCTTCATTTCTCCGACAGTAAACACGCTGTCTTCCGTGATTCATCACTGAATCAGACTCGCCTCCAGTTTCTAAGGTTCTAGTACTCTACGACACCACCGCTAGCGATTGCGCCAATAGATGTCGCTCTAAACAAGGAGCAACCCGGATGTAGCGGTCCTGGGTTTGGGTGGTAACTCTTGGACGGCCGCTTCAGGGGCGATCTTGGGCGGAATCGGTCTGCAAGAAACGATGCCAATGGGGAGATATGATGCTCTGATGAACGTTGAAATGTCGGGCAACTGCTACTCCCCAGCTTCAAGGCAGCCTATGGCGACGTTTCGATTGGCGGCACTCAGTCGTGGCATGCTGTTTTCCTTTCCTTTCCTTTCCTTTTCCAGGCAAAAGCGAATGACAAAATTAAACACAACGTTAGCTTTTTTATAGTGATCGATACCGTATGCTTTTCCGCTCTCTTGCACGTGCAGTTTGCTTTGCATGATTTTTTGGTGACGTTTTGGCGAATATTTCTCCAAAAGCTTCTTTTACAAGGAATCCTTTTTTTTAAATTGCCGCGTTGACGCGATGAAACTGTTACAATCACACAAAGATGACGTTTGGAAATAAATAGTATATTTGTATTGTTTTGCCGCAGCTATATGAGCCCAATATTCTCCAAATCACCTATGCGTTTCATTTTTTACAGAGTGTACATGACCTATTTCTAAAGTATGAAATACATGTATACAAAACTCACAAAAAGTGTGATACATGCACATACCTCACAAAAGTGTGATACATGCATATACCTCGTAAAAAGTGTGATACATGAATATACCTCACAAAAGTGTGATACATGCATATACCTCACAAAAGGTGTGATACATACATATACCTCACAAAAGGTGTGATACATGCATATATCTCACAAAAGGTGTGATACATGCATATACCTCACAAAAGGTGTGATACATGCATATACCTCACAAAAGGTGTGATACATGCACATACCTCACAAAAGGTGTGATACATGCATATACCTCACAAAAGTGTGATACATGCATATACCTCACAAAAGATGTGATACATGCATATCAATCACAAAAGGTGTGATACATGCATATACATCACAAAAGATGTGGTACATGCATATCAATCACAAAAGGTGTGATACATGCATATACCTCACAAAAGGTGTGATACATGCATATACCTCACAAAAGGTGTGATACATGCATATACCTCACAAAAGGTGTGATACATGCATATACCTCACAAAAGGTGTGATACATGCATATACCTCACAAAAGGTGTGATACATACATATGCATCACAAAAAGTGGGATACATTACCCAAGGGTGTGATACATGCATACACATCAACCAATCGCATGATACCTGATACATCACAAGAAGTGTGATACATATGTTACGATCATACAATTACACGCGCCTGCAATAAAGAAAATATATGGCTCAGAAATTTGTTTGTAATAAATAATCTTCATTCCAGTCATACCTGACAGGTAAGTAGGGTTCTGGAAGAAGCGATCAAGCTGTGACTGATCCAGCTTAGCAAAGGCATCATCACTGGGTGCGAACAGTGTGTAACGGTAGTTGCCTGAAAGAGTGAGTGAGTGTGGTCAAACTTTGTAACATTTCAGTCATATTCTAGCGATGAAGGACGATTTCTGTCTTTCCAGTACTTACTTCGGAAAATAGTTCTTAAAACTCTCATTCTTGAATTGTTTCCGTAGAGAAATCTAACTATATTTTTATGCATGTAATATTAGTTCAATTATGGGTACTTGGATATGCAATAAAAGGGTTAACACAGCGCCTTTGTAAACACCGTAATTACATCGACTTATCCACTGTTCGAAACAAGCGTTGTGTCGATATTGTACCATACCATTGATAGGAGACTTCCTTAATGAAGAGACCCATGAAGATCCGGGTTAGAATTGTTTTTCAGTAACTCATGCTTGTCATAAGAGGCAACTAACGGGATCGGGTGGTCAGGTTTGCTGATTTGGTTGACACATGTCATCGCATCAAACTATCGTAGATCGATGCTCATGCTGTTGATCACTGGATTGTCTGCTCCAGACTCGATTATTTACAGACCGCTGCCATATAGCTGGAATGTTGCTGAGTGCGGCGTTAAAAAATACAACCAACAAAATGTTAAACCGATCCTTTTGAAGACATAGAGCTCTAACATTTTCACTTGATACCAGCAGGCAAGGACATTTAAAGCAATACATTCCTATGTATTTAATAGACAATCCTTTCTTCACAGGAAATTCATGAATAGGAACTAAAGTGATTGTTTTAGGATTGATTTAAATGTGGATGACTACCTTTAAAATGTAGAAATATTGAACTAACCATAGGAATAGGTTGTGTTGAGCAGTCTGTCATAACGGACTTTGTCGACGGCCGACCTAAACTTGGACAGTTTGTAATCTGGATTTTCCAGAATACCGTAGATAGTACCCTCGGGCACATCCAGAACAGTGTCCAGAAGGTAGATGACACCATTATCAGTTTCAAGGTCGACAGCCACAGCTTTAGCATTGTTGAAATAAATATCCTGAAGATTTAAGTCGATATTACATGACATTACATCGCTTATATTAATATATGACGTTAAAGCTGTACGGTCAATTGCAAAGCTTTAATAACATTATATTGCTGATATTTTAAATTAAACTGTATCAAATGGATGACGTCATTTATTTTTCCAAGATAGATCTTGGAGTGTACACATGATAAACCCTAATTAAAGGTTCTGTTTTAACAGCAAGTCTTAGACTTTATGTAAAAGGGAAAAATCACAAACGGTCGTGACATTTGTTGACTCGTCAGTGCTTTAGCTACATTTTGAGTTGTCTGGTGACTACAAACAGATGCATTACATTCATCTTACAATTTAACGGTATCGGGTACACATGGGCGTGAATGTACACCCTGATATAGTTTCCTATATGCAATATTTATAGTGCCCTGAGTGTAATCATGAGTGAGTGAGGGAGTGTGGATGATTTTACACCGCTTTTTTTAGCAATAGTCCAAAAATATCACGGTGGGGGACTCCAGAAATGGGCTTCACACATTGTATCCATGTGGGGAATCGAACCCGGGTCTTCGGCGTGACGAGCGAACGCTTTAACCACTAGGTTACCCCATCGCCCCTTTAATCCTGAGGTTTCCATTGGTTAGTACTTTCATTTCCAGCTATATACCCCTTGGCCATGGTGCATTCATTGTAACACATTACACTCTATATACCACTTGATATATCCTCCGTTATGAACTGGTTCAATGTCCTGTCTGTACACTCTGATGTCATGTGCTGTGTGTATTGTTTACATTGCCCTGTATCTACAATAAGGTGTATTACTGAATCTACCCTGTGTGTACACGATACCGAGTCCAGTAATTTAACTTACTTTGAAATGTTTGTACACTCTGACGTATTATCTTGTGAAAAACATACATTACCCTGTATATAAACATCGTGATGCAGTGTACAGTGTGTATTACTTACATTGCTCTGTTTGTACACCCTGACGTATTATCTTGTAAAAAACTTACATAGCCCTGTATATAAATATCGTGGTGCCGTGTACAGTGTGTGTATTACTTACATTGCTCTGTTTGTACACCCTGACGTATTATCTTGTAAAAACATACATTGCCCTGTATATAAACATCGTGATGCCGTGTACAGTGTGTATTACTTACATTGCTCTGTTTGTACACCCTGACGTATTATCTTTTGTATCACTTACATAGCCCTGTCTATAAATATCGTGGTGCCGTGTACAGTGTGTATTACTTACATTGCTCTGTTTGTACACCCTGACGTATTATCTTGTAAAAAACATACATTGCCCTGTATATAAACTTACATAGCCCTGTATATAAACACCGTGATGCCGTGTACAGTGTGTATTACTAACATTGTTCTATTTGTACACCCTGACCTATTATCTTTTGTATCACTTACATAGCCCTGTATATAAACATCGTGATGCCGTGTACAGTGTGTATTACTTACATTGCTCTGTTTGTACACCCTGACGTATTATCTTTTGTATCACTTACATAGCCCTGTATATAAACATCGCGATGCCGTGTACAGTGTGTATTACTTACATTGCTCTGTTTGTACACCCTGACGTATTATCTTTTGTATCACTTACATAGCCCTGTATATAACATCGCGATGCCGTGTGTGTATTACTTACATTGCTCTGTTTGTACACCCTGACGTATTATCTTTTGTATCACTTACATAGCCCTGTATATAAACATCGTGATGCCGTGTACAGTGTGTATTACTTACATTGCTCTGTTTGTACACCCTGACGTATTATCTTTAGTATCACTTACATAGCCCTGTATATAAACATCGTGATGCCGTGTACAGTGTGTATTACTTACATTGCTCTGTTTGTACACCCTGACGTATTATCTTTAGTATCACTTACACAGCCCTGTATATAAACATCGTGATGCCGTGTACAGTGTGTATTACTTACATTGCTCTGTTTGTACACCCTGACGTATTATCTTTTGTATCACTTACATAGCCCTGTATATAAACATCGTGATGCCGTGTACAGTGTGTATTACTTACATTGCTCTGTTTGTACACCCTGACGTATTATCTTGTAAAAAACATACATTGCCCTGTATATAAACTTACATAGCCCTGTATATAAACACCGTGATGCCGTGTACAGTGTGTATTACTTACATTGCTCTGTTTGTACACCCTGACGTATTATCTTTTGTATCACTTACATAGCCCTGTATATAAACATCGTGATGCCGTGTACAGTGTGTATTACTTACATTGCTCTGTTTGTACACTCTGACGTATTATCTTTTGTATCACTTACATAGCCCTGTCTATAAATATCGTGATGCCGTGTACAGTGTGTATTACTTACATTGCTCTGTTTGTACACCCTGACGTATTATCTTGTAAAAAACATACATTGCCCTGTATATAAACTTACATAGCCCTGTATATAAACACCGTGATGCCGTGTACAGTGTGTATTACTAACATTGCTCTGTTTGTACACCCTGACCTTATTATCTTTGTATCACTTTACATAGCCCTGTATATAAACATCGTGATGCCGTGTACAGTGTGTATTACTTACATTGCTCTGTTTGTACACCCTGACGTATTATCTTGTGAAAAACATACATTGCCCTGTATATAAACACCGTGATGCCGTGTACAGTGTGTATTACTTACATTGCTCTGTTTGTACACCCTGACGTATTATCTTTAGTATCACTTACATAGCCCTGTATATAAACATCGTGATGCCGTGTACAGTGTGTATTACTTACATTGCTCTGTTTGTACACCCTGACGTATTATCTTTGTAAAACATACATTGCCCAGTATATATAAACACCGTGATGCCATGTACAGTGTGTATTACTTACATTGCTCTGTTTGTACACCCTGACGTATTATCTTTAGTATCACTTACATAGCCCTGTATATAAACATCGTGATGCCGTGTACAGTGTGTATTACTTACATTGCTCTGTTTGTACACCCTGACGTATTATCTTTAGTATCACTTACATAGCCCTGTATATAAACATCGTGATGCCGTGTACAGTGTATTACTTTACATTGCTCTGTTTGTACACTCTGACGTATTATCTTGTAAAACTTACATTGCCCTGTATATGAACATCGTGATGCCGTGTACAGTGTGTATTACTTTACATTGCTCTGTTTGTACACCCTGACCTATTATCTTTGTATCACTTACATAGCCCTGTCTATAAACATCGTGATGCCGTGTACAGTGTGTATTACTTACATTGCTCTGTTTGTACACCCTGACGTATTATCTTTGTATCACTTTACATAGCCCTGCATATGAACATCGCGATGCCGTGTACAGTGTGTATTACTTACATTGCTCTGTTTGTACACCCTGACGTATTATCTTTGTATCACTTACATAGCCCTGTATATAAACATCGTGATGCCGTGTACAGTGCATTATATTACTTACATTGCTCTTTTGTACACCCTGACGTATTATCTTTTGTATCATTTACTAGCCCTGTATATAAACACCGTGATGCCATGTACAGTGTGTATTACTTACATTGCTCTGTTTGTACCGCATCTGACGCATTATCTTTTGTGTCAATTATTGCTCTGTTTTGTACACCCTGACGTATTATCTTTTTGTATCAATTTACACAGCCCTGGTATATGAACATCGCGATGCCGTGTACAGTGTCTATTATTATACATTGCTCTGTTTGTACAATCTTTACGTGTTATTATCTTTGCATCATTTCCATAGCCCCATATATAAACATCGTGATGCCGTGCACAGTGTGTATTTACTTACATTGCTCTTGTTTGTACACACTGACGTATTATCTTTTATATCACTTATATAGCCCTGTCTATAAATATCATGGGTGCCGTGTACAGTGTGTATTACTTTACATTGCTCTGTTTGTACACCCTGACGTATTATCTTGTAAAAAAAACATACATTGCCCTGTATATAAACTTACATAGCCCTGTATATCAACACCGTGATGCCGTGTACAGTGTGTGTATTACTAACATTGTTCCCATTTGTACACCCTGACCTATTATCTTTTGTATCACTTACATAGCCCTGTATATAAACATCGTGATGCCGTGTACAGTGTGTATTACTTACATTGCTCTGTTTGTACACCCTGACGTATTATCTTGTGAAAAACATACATTGCCCTGTATATAAAACACCGTGATGCCATGTACAGTGTGTATTACTTACATTGCTCTGTTTTGTACACCCTGACGTATTATCTTTTGTATCACTTACATAGCCCTGTATATAAACATCGTGATGCCGTGTACAGTGTGTATTACTTTACATTGCTCTGTTTGTACACCCTGACGTATTATCTTGTAAAAACATTACATTGCCCTGTATATAAACTTACATAGCCCTGTATATAAACACCGTGATGCCGTGTACAGTGTGTATTACTTAACATTGTTCTATTTGTACACCCTGACCTATTATCTCTTTAGTATCACTTTACATAGCCCTGTATATAAACATCGTGATGCCGTGTACAGTGTGTATTACTTACATTGCTCTGTTTGTACACCCTGACGTATTATCTTTTGTATCACTTACATAGCCCTGTATATGAACATCGAACGCGATGCCGTGTACAGTGTGTATTACTTACATTGCTCTGTTTGTACACCCTGACCTATTATCTTTTAGTATCACTTTACATAGCCCTGTATATAAACATCAGATGCCGTGTACAGTGTGTATTACTTACATTGCTCTGTTTGTACACCCTGACGTATTATCTTGTAAAAACATACATTGCCCTGTATATAAACTTTACATAGCCCTGTATATCAACACCGTGATGCCGTACAGTGTGTACGTACTTTACATTGCTCTGTTTGTACACCCTGACGTATTATCTTTAGTATCACTTACACAGCCCTGTATATAAACATCGTGATGCAGTGTACAGTGTGTATTACTTACATGTCCCTTTTGTACACTC